GTACCTCCACTAAGGTATCGGAACCTTTGACACGACACACACACAGAGTGTGTGTGTTTGCAATGGGTCAAACTAACGCGCGACCCAATTGCTCTGCACGCTGCAGAACACTTCCTCTTCCTACGGAAAGTCCAGTGTCTTGATGAGGGCGGCCACGGCAGGCTCTTCCTTGTTGGCCGCCGCCCACTTGCAAAATACGACTGGAATGTCGTCCAGCAAATTTGCCGCAGGTTCCCAGGATGATTCTTCATCGTCCAAGCCGCTTCACCAAAACTTGGTGTTGGCCATCCACGCAGCGCGCTTCGTCCAGGCGCTCCACATGAAATCCGCCATCACCAAACGCGATCTGCGCCTCGAGGTCTTCGGTTGCCTCTCTAGCACCTTCGTGGTACATCTTCAGTCGGCACGCATGATGGACTTTCATACGGTGGCACCAGCTTCTGAGTCTCCATCACATCGTCTGTGATGACTCTGGTCACTTGGCAGGTTCCGCGCCAATGTAGGGCCCATTTCGTCGGACGGTTGACGACCAATCCGACAAGCACAAACTCGCCGACCGAAAACCCCGCAAACTTGACTTGGGATTTTCGGTCGCGGCGTCCACGCACTTGCTGACGCAACTTGTCGCTTCGTACTGCCACGTTGTGGTGCATTTCTTCAAGCGCCACTTGGAGGTCTGTCACATGTTTCTGACCGGCGGCGCCAAGCCAGTCCGCGACGTAAACTTCCTTGGACGTCGGGTATACAAATCCTGCTAGCGGGGACTTGGCTAACAGGCCGGTAAACGCTGTCACAGGCCAATTCTTCTCAGCCGGTCTACCGGCTGATGGTTGAGGGTGCCTTGAACGAGGGGCAACACATGCGGCCATTGGTCCGCGTTCAGCTTCATTTCGCTGAGCAGCGCCTTCACGGCGCGCAGCATTAGTCGGTTGACTACTTCTACTGTCCCGTTCGCCCAAGGACTGTAGGCTGTCGTGATATGATGGTGGGCACCCACCAACTTCCGCACCTTCTCGATCACTTCGTTCTTGAAGTGAGAACCGCCATCTGACACCCGTGGTAAACCACGTCATCAGGCACTGGGCGGTCGCGGCGGTGTCAGCGGACTCTGCCGCGAACAGCTGCACAAAGCCACTCATGTCGTCCTTCACGACAAGCACTTGTTTTTGGCCAGACTTGGCCATGGGCATCGATAACCAGTCGAAGTGGATGAGCTCATTCGGCTTCTCCGCGTGAAGCGCAGAACTGAATGGACGGGGAACCATTTCTCCGTCAATGCACAGACAGTGCATACAGGCACGCACGAACGCTTCGACGTGGAAAGCATCTTCCACACAAACTTGTCGGACACCGACTTGATCGTCGCCGCGATGCGACGGTGACCGCTGGCTCCTTGGTGAGTGATCACACAAATCCGCTGCTGTAGGTCAACAGCACCGTCTGGGATCCAGATTCGTCCATCTGGGTCCACGTAAAAATGGGAGTCGTCGTCCCAATCCACACTGTTTGGGGGGTCCCTCCCCCTTCCATGGTTGAACGTTGGATGTCACCGATCGTAGCGGCGGCCACTCGAAATCTACTTGTTGCAGGGGCGACACCACATGGATCAACTTGCGAACATTCGCAACTGGTTGAACCGTCGGAGCCGAACCCCATTGGCTCAGGAGGTCGCGCCCATACATTCGCGTCACCCGATGCGTACTCAATGGTGTACGGGAAGGTCGACATCACCAGCGACCATCGCTGCAGCTTGTCGGCCTGGTACTTGGCCATGTTGGCGTTCGAGCCACTTGGGTTGAAAATGTATACCAGATTGCGGTGATCCTTAAACAGACGGAAACCACCAGGGCGTACGACCAGGTAGTCGAGTCTCTTGCACGACTCGACCACGGCATAGGCCTCCTTCTCCACGATGGGCCAGCGCGCGCTCGCGCCAGAAAACGATCCACTGATGAACGCAAGCGGCTGGTGCCGCTGGTCTTTGAGAGGCAAATCCAGGTCCGCTGGCGGTACTTGTGTGGCGACCGCACCCCAAAACAGGTCACCAGCATCCGTGAAGACGCAGGCTGTCATGTATTCTCGCGGGTGCGACAGGGGCACCACATGCGCCAACGTGTGTTTCACCTCGTTGAAACACTTGAGATGATCGGACGACCATCCCACGGCAGGGAGTGCAACACGCACTAACGCCGTTTTCTTGCAGCTTCCGTCTGTCTTGGTGGCCACGTCGAGCAGACGTCGCAACGGGTCCACCAGCTAGTTGTAGCCGGGGATGCTCGCACGCATCCAGTTGGTGGCACACACAAACTGCTGGAGGTCGGCCGCGGTCGTCGGCGGCGACAAATCCACAAGTCCTTGACTTCGGCTTGGGGAATGGGTGATTCCGTCGGCCGAAATCACCTTGCCACACCATTCTGCCTCGCGCAGAAAGAAATGACACTTCTTCGGGCCGAACTGGGCACAGATGAACAGGACTTGGTCCAACAAGTTGAGCAGCTCGTCCGTCGTCTTGGCGGACCCCAGCAAGTCATCGAACCAGGCCAACAGGCCTCGAAACAGCAGCTCACCAAACATTTGGTGGACAATCGACTGGCAGTACGCGACAGCGTCCGTCTGTCCCATGAGCACGCGGGTCGGGGTGTACACGCCGAAGGGCGTCATGAACGAGAAGTACATCTGGCTGTCCGCATGTAGCGGCAACTGCCAGTACCCCTTGGTCCAGTCCAACGTGGAGTACACGTTCGTTCCGACCAGACAGACCATCGCACTGTCCAG